CGTAGCCATCGTAACGGCCAAAAGGGAAGTCGACCACATGCTCGAACTGGGCATTATCAAACCTTCAAGTAATCCTTAGGCATAACCATTGCATATGGTTCTCAAAAAGGAAGGCGGCGGCTGGCGTCCTACCGGTGGCTACCGAGGGCTTAACGCCAAAATAACTCCGGACTGCTACCCGACACTCCATGTTTACGACTTGACTGCGACGTTATGCAGAATGAACATGTTCTCCAAAATCGATCTGGTCAAAGCGTGTAATCAGACACATATGGCAGCCGAAGATATTGCGGAAACAGCCATAACAGCTCTTTTGGCTTGTTTGGATTCCTGCACATGCCATTCGGTTTTCGGAATGCAGCACAACATTCCAACGCTTTACGGATGATGTCTTAAGCGGTTTGGATCCTGTCCATGTCTACAACGATGACTGCCTCAATGTGATTCCAGATTCACACTAAAAATTCGGACCTCGTACTCGACAGACTGAGGAAACATGGCACCACAGTCAACGTGCTGAAATGTGAAACAGGAGTTAAATCACTCATCTTCTGCTTTTTGCTGGCCGGGAATGAACAAAGACGTTAAGTGGTGGTCGAGTTTGACTTGCCAGAAGCATAGAGTCACTCAACACACGAAAAGCCTAGTCGGTTCTTGTCTAGCCCCAGACGTGCGTTTCGACCACGTCCACGTGGATGTTGTAGGACCTCTGCCAGAATCTAATAGATGTGCTTGCCTTTTCACCTGCATGGATCGTTTTACGAGATGGCCAGGAGCAGTACATATCAAGGATATTACTGTTGAAGCCGTCGCTCATGTTTTCTTCGTCGCAAACTTTGGATGTCCATCTTACGTAACAGCTGACAGTAGGCGCCAACTCAAGTGTGGATTATTTCACGCTTTAACCGCACTTTTGGGTTGCGCTCGGTTCCGAACAACAGTCTACCGTCCACAAGCAAACGGTGTGGTAGAACATTTCCACCAGCGGAAGGCTTCCCTTTCAGATGCAAAAATACTTAAGTGGACCGAGGCTCTGCCTCCAGTCCTACTAGGTATCTGTAACGCGCTAGAATCACACGCTAGGAAAAAGGCTGTCCAGTTATCCCAGGTTTCCAGTGTTCCTGCAGCTGATGTCAGTTCATGATAAAAAACATGAAACCAACAGATCCTCATAAGCCTCCAAAACGCCTGAAAATTGAGGTGCGAGTTAGTCTTTAAAGCTAAATATTATAAAGGTGGACTTCAGGTGACACACGCGCTACAAAAAAGAAATGTTTCAAAGCATAAAAGTTCTGCTAATTTTTTCAAAGAGAAGACCGAACTAACTGACATATAAGTGATAAAATGTCATGGATTCACAGAGCGAACTTCGGCAAGTATCTGTCAGCCATCATTTGAAGCTACGTGTGAAACGAAAGTCTGATTATTTCACGGCGTGGAAAACCCCGCTTTGGTTTCCGATGCACCTGTGAGGGGGGGAGACACTGTGGCTGACTGAAACACTGAAATAATGCGGAAAGATGGGTGATTTTATTATGGCCTACAAGATCATTCACCAATTAAATCACAGAAACCAACTAACCTCAGCCGCAACACGGTGGTCATCAAGAGGGAACTGTGTCAGGACAGCGTATCAAGTAGCCGACATCAGGCTCAGGTTAAACTTTTTCCTTCTGAGAATGTGTGCTTTATGGAACGCTCCGCCGTGAGGTGTGGCCACTGCCCTCTCAGCAGACTCATTTAGGAGACGGTTAGGCAGTTGCACTAGTTTTTACGTCGTACCAGATATGTAATAGGGGTATTACTATCTCATCATTACCTTCTTCCTATTTGCCGCCCCATCCATCTTGTCGATACACCTACATTATCAACTAACTCTTCCCCAGTAGCTACACCCATACTACCTACTCTTACTTTTCGGGTAATTCCCATCTACCTTTTCCTACCACCTCAGTGTTCCTATTCGAACATCTTTACAGACAGGATTCACGAAAGGCTCTTAATCTTTCCAGCAACCTGTAACGACCTTACTGACTCAGTCTACAAGTTACAATCACCAACTCACAAAAGCTTCATCCGGTGGGAGCGCAAAACAGGTAGACGGGAGAGATTTCCTCGCCCGACAAAGGAGTGAACGGAAATATTCGCATCAGGCCCCAGCAACCAAACCTATGGATGATGCAGTTAGATTTTGGATGTGAAACAGTGACTGGAGAATAACATCCAGAAATGGTAAATGATTTCTTACATTTTGGGGATCCGAAACTTCTTAGAGGAACTTGATATGAAGAATGATGTAGACGACTGCAGTTACACTTTGGGAATTGCCCTGGTGCGCACTTGGCAGACGCGGAGGCCGACCATCAACTATTCGCACCTGTGATATACCCACGAATACAAGACCAAGAAAGAACACAATAGCGTAGTTGCATGTAGTGGTATATTTGCGAGGTCGTGCCGTGGTATCGATGCGTTTCAACTAACTGGCCAGAGGATCGGCCGCAGTGCAACGTAACACGGCAGCAAGCCAAATGGCGAGGGTGCTTCACCGGGTGCCTTCAGCTTAGCAAGTCCAGTTGAACTATGAAGGTCAGCATCGATGTTGATCTCGTTGGACCCTAGGCTATCGATTCTGGAGAAGTGCATGACCCTACAATACTCTTCGGAGATACAAACTTTCTGAGGTTCGAAAACAGGAAATGAATTTTCTATGCCTTTGTCATGTTTGGCCTCCATGTTATACCTCACTAATTTAACGATTGAAGGTGACGCGGCGCTTAGCATCATTCAGTTCACTCGTAGTAACTATAACCTTGATGTCTGTATCCAGCTTTTGATATGTACGCCATGCCAAAGACCTTATTATAAAGCTTGACTTAAAGCAGTTCAGTCGGGGTGCGCAGAAAGCTTCGAAGGTCATCACTTAAACTACTAAGACTACAAGAACTGTTAGGATGGTCACGAGGGCCGTCAGCGGGAAATTCGAGGATGTCCTGCTACAGTGAAGTATGGTCTGCTGGAGTGTTGAGGATTCAGTGAATAAAGACCCCTCAATACGTCACACCCACGATCTTAATGTGGTCTAATTGGCTGTCAGACATGTCCTATCCTAAACGTTTAAAGGGGTACAATCTCAAAAACAGTCGGTCTACGTAGAAGTGGATGACTAACCTGATGAGCGGAGGATTCTAAGGCCTGTTCTAGGCAACAGAGAAGTAATGGACGTACCTCTTAATAACGCATCCAAACTACGAAATTCGGACATTCGGATCCTATCGGACTGGTCTTTATTGGACCAGATAAAAAGAGGAAAAGCGATCTCTGAACTTAAGGCTTGACAAATGAATGGGGAAAGGATTGAAAAACTGTAAGTTTTCTGGTTTTCAGGTCTTAGAACCGAGCGCTCTCAGGGCCTGATTGGGTGGGACATGGAAGTGTTCAAACACTGAGATGGTGATGGCGTGTCACTGGTTTTAGAACCGCTCAGTCAGTGCATACTGTGCCCAAAATAGAGGTGGCAGTCTTCCAGTTGCTCACTGATCCTAAACCTGGCAAACCCGTGATTCCCAATGAGCCGCATCTAGGGCTGCTACCTTGGCTGACGCGGATTATTTCTGAACTAGTTACCAATCTTTTCATTTTGTCCTTATCTTGGACCCTTCCTCCTGCAGATTGGAAAGATGCAATAAACAGTCCAGTTTTTGGGGCCTGTTGTCGCCGGTTGGTAGCTGACCATCGCTATGTGAGTCCAACTTGAATATTTATCAAGGTCTTAAATAACCTTTCGCGATAAGGTACCTGACCATGGTGAATCACGTTACCTTTTATCACCTCAACAACACTTTTGTCGCTATGGAAACTCCTCTTTAACCAACCTCTCCATCATACAAAAGGAGCGGGTTGGGGCCCATGACTGCAAGCTGCTAACGGATGCCATGCTCATGAACTTCAGCAAGGCGTTCGATAAATCGTCTCATGGTAAATCACTAAGAAAGCTACCATCTCCAGGTTTTAATGCTGCGCTGCAAGCCTAGATTAAGGACCTTCTGTATGAGAGAAGACAGAGAGTGAAAGCTGATGAAACACTTTTCAGGTGGAAACCTGAAATGTGTAGAATTCCATGAGGAACGAACCGTTGTCCTTCTCTTTTCGTGTTAACAAATCACCGCAAATACTGAACTGTTCGATGCTGTTGTTGGTGTCCAATATTGACTTCATTAACGGTGCAATTATGCACACTGGTCATAGCAGTGGTTTCCAGTATTCCGCTGATGGTACACCACTACTCCCAGACCTATATGTTATCACAAGCCCCGGTTTAAAAGCTTCGCCACACCATAGTGCAGCTGCGGCAAATGGATCCCGTCCATTTTATTACATTCCTAGAGTCTTCAAAAGTTCTGATCAGGATTAGTTAAGGCTGCTCTATTCTATTTACGTTAAACCTGACCCGGAACACCCTATTAAGGCGGCCAGTTCAGGCCTAAAAAAGGATGCTGACATACTCTAGCGTTTTCAGTGGTTAGCTATAAAGCTTGCGGCAGGCATTTCTTACCTGCCCTGTGAGGAACGTTTAGACAGTCTGAACTTATTCTCGTTGTTTTAGCGTAGGAAACAGGGATGATCTCATAATGGTATTCCATATTCCAAATTATGACTTGACTACTGATATTTCCCATTATTTCTCGCCTGATAAGATTATCTCCAAGGGCACCACAAAATATTCAAAACCACAATCAGATCAATTTAGCATGAATCTGAGTTTGTCCCATTGTAGAGCCAACGACTGGAACTTCCTAACTTGGCAAGTAGTATCAGCACATTCTGTCATCGCATCCAGGGAGAAACTAGACCTTGATGGCGACATCTACAAAGATCAACATAGGCCAACAGGCCTATTATCTATATTGACGAAAACCTAAAACGGATTGGACATTGAGCATCTGGGTCAAGTCAAATGCTGTAGTGGCCAATTTGATCCTGATTTTTCCGCGTGTATTATGTCTCAAAATGTCGAGTCCGTCGGCAAATTGTGTTCTATTTGCCATGAAGACATCGACTATTTTGCATATGGTTCGTGTAATCATCCAACGTGCACAAAATGTGTACTCAAGCTTCGGAAGTTCGGCAGTGCAGATGAGCCGGAATTTTCCAAGTGTCCCACTTGCAGACAAAACATCAACAGAGTAAGTCGTTGCAGCTTCTTTTCCGCATCACCATTCAGGTCGTCATAATGCGGAACTTCATTCCTTTCGATAGGGTCGATGTTTCTGCTCTTCGACATGACTCCAGATTTGATTTCATGTTTCCTGATGTTGAGATCGAGCAGTACTACTCCAATATGTTGAAGTCATTTTGCCCGATTTGTGGTGAAGAGAAAAAGTCGCTTTCAGCACTAAACAGACACACTACAGCAGAACACCAGCTTTCTTACTGTGATCTCTGCATTCGATATGCTAGGGTATTATGTTTTCAACTAACCAACTGATTTAGCTTTTACCTTGTGAATTCGTTCTCATGAAACCAGCTGACCTAGTAAAGCACCGAACATGGGATAAAACCAAGAAAAAAGGTCACCCCTTGTGCGACTTTTGTGAGGAACGGTTTTATGAGATGGAAGATTTGATAAATCATATTCGGGATCTACATTTCTTATGCGACCTCTGCATGACTACGGGAAAGTTTGTCGTCTTTAGGTGAGTTTTCCAATGTCCACATCAATAATTCGAATTGAATTACTGTATCCCGAGTCCCCATGTACTTCCATGCCTAGATTTGTTTTTGTTCAAATCGACGTTTGTTACACTTCTAAATTTCGGGCATCTGTTTTCACTAATAGTACTTCAAGATTCCATATTATCATAGATGCATACCTTATGTTTTGTAGTCGGAACTTTGTTGACTAGACTAATGAAGTATATTGGGACCAATTAAAGTCAGTGACTAGTGCTATGACAGAGAAGGATAAGTCCGCTATTCAGTGGCAAGAAAACTGAAGCAAGGAGTGAAACACTTCGGGCAGCACCTTAACTGGCACCCAGCTACTATTCTGTTGCCCGCCATTCAGTCGGATCCTGAATTGAACATAGAGATAAGCTATCAAATTTTACAGAAACATGGAAGGCTGTAAAACGAGAATGGGCAGATGAGATTACGGGATGTATTTAGAAACTGCGGTCGAGAATTGTTGTTTAGCTTTACTGGAGTGTTACGGTATGAGTGAGACAACTTCGTACGACTAGTCTCAACCACCGAATTTCCCTGATCTTCAAGAAGGGCGAGATAACGAAAGGTGAATATCACTGACGAGCGTGGTGTTCAAGAGCCTAGGTGCTGTAATCACCAACACCTTAATGACATTTGGGAACAGCAAACTCTGGCAGATTTGAAAACTGATCGTGGGTGTGTCAATTAGACAGGAATTGGTCTTACTAAATCCAGACTGCACACATCATCCAGTAATTTGAAGACACCGACAAGGTGCATAGTTTACTGGACACGAGTGACGATTTTCAACTGTTTTGGATGTGGTTATCATCACCTAAATGCAAGCTTGCTCCAGGAGTGGTCTGCATTTGTGCCTTCTCTTGCAGTAGGAAGTAAAGCGGTTTCTCACGCTGACCACTTAGCCCACCTGAGAAGTCAATTCAGCTCTGGGGTGTTTGTGATTGATACACGATCTGTAGAGTTAAAAAGGGTTTGGCTGGTGGTTGAACTTATTTATGGCCGTAATCCATTAAGGCTCTTGTCTGGAACGATTGTTCTTCAGGAATCGGACATGTGTAGCTGTGGCATATTGGTTAAGACACGTAACTTTCAGCTAGTGGGTTACGGATTAGAACCCCTCTCCACTTACCTGGGGTTTGCACCAGTCGATGAAGTCCATAACTTATTTTTAGCCTTGTGGAAGGGGGGAAATATAGACTGCCTGGTTGTGGTCTCAGAGAAGTAAGGAATGAATGGTTGAAAATTGATCACAACGGCCCAGATGTATTTACTCTGTAGAATCTAAATCTTGAATATTCTCACTAACCATTATCGTCGGATTGTCTACTCTTACATTGCTTTATCTACTTTGATATCATTTTTTCATCCATCTGTTGCTTTTATACTACTTTAAAGTATGGCTACTCGAACTCATGCATCTGTGTGCAAGGTTCTACGTTGATTTTATCAGTCAATCTTCTCCTGGGTTTGAATAGCCAGGTGGTATCATTAGTCCTCACACAATAGGTAGGCCTCATGGCCTACTGCAGGAATGTGCACAAGATTGTTGGGTACGGTGCTGTGTCATCTAGCATATCGGCAAGGTTGGTTTGGTAGCTGTAAATATGAGTAAAAATTGGTCTCTTTGGTAAAATACAGTTCCATCTTAGTAGATTTCGTTTCGGACAGTTTATTATCCGTGATATCTTGATATGGCTGGGGTGTATAATGGTGTAATGTTTGCCTCTAACTGGTGAAGTTTAGTGACTGCCAGCATTAACATAGTGTAAATTGCAGGAATTGCATTTTTAGCTTCTTCATCTAAGTGTCTTTCTTTAGTATTACCCTTCTAAAATAATTTAGTCAAGTTACACACTGCCAGTCGATAATAAGTGGGTTGCGGTTTCAGAGTGGCAAAAATCGGATCAAGGTTGATTTTAGATGCTTTTGCTAACTAGCCGAACGTTGACGCACTCTTGATTCATCGTCTATGAATTTGACCATGGATCAACCCTACGTTCACCTTGATAGTTGCGTAGTGGTATTTGCATGCATAACCTTACCATTCTGGTACTTCACCGTAAGAACATCATAGTATAGAGTGACTGGCTCCTGTGAATTCACAATTGGAACACGTCCATTTCTTCTAGTCACAAGGTGGCATTTTTATGACGAGCTGGTAACAAATTCGATATCGATATGAAGAGTCGAAATGCACTCAACAACTACATGCCTTCTGTGTAATCAGCAATGAGTCACACCTGTTGTGAAAGCTAGTGTTACCACCTGGCTGCGCGGACCACGATAGGTGGAGCCGAAAGTCAGTCAACTTAACCGGTGAGCCATAGCCCCACATGATACCGAAACAGAAGACTGGGTTGGCTTTCTCTAACCTAGATCATTCATGATGTTGGTGAGATTTTCGCATCCTTATCAAAGCACGCCCATACTTCATCCCGGAATACAGCTACTTGGTAATTAAATCGTAAGGATTTTCAGAAGTTACAGGTCTCAGGTCATTTTATTAGCACCACTTACCTATGACTAGGCTCACCGTTTAAGCAATGATAATAAGTGAAAAGTAAGTCGACTGAGATTCTTGACTCTTGTAAGTTAGTTTGTTCTATATTTTGCAGTTAACCGGGTTTCATAACAGCTAATATATATGCCGTGGCTGAGATACCGATGACACATCCCTAAAACTTGAAGACAGGAATACCGTCCGTTGAACATCCTGACAGCTTAAGCATACCTCAGCACGCATTTTACTTCTAGATTTGACGTAAGGCTCCAGTAGTTATGTGCACACACCTGTTGTAGAGAGTTGTGGCTCATTGGTTTAGGGAGTTGACTTTCATCCAGTGCATCGGGGGGTTCGAACACTGCTTCACCTATCTAAGTTTGGGCAGCCAGCTGATATCATTAGCCCGCACACAATAGGTGTGGCTCATACCTTACTGCAAGAATGTGCACAAGGTTGCCGACTGGATTTCGACTTTGATGTTGTAACGAGCGTGCCTGTTACGTGTTAACATGCGGTGCGTACCAGATACCTGAATACCCCCAGCCTAATTGTATACCCATATAATGTAACATGTGACGGTGGGGATTTCTCTCATCCTTATAGTGAATCCAAAGGCTGCACCATATCAACTTTAGATATTGAATTTCGACAGAGTAGGTAGGTCTGTCTGTGAAGTTGTAGATTGATCAGCTGAGTTGGGTGGACTTGTCGTATCCAAGGTAAGGCTAAATGTTAGAGCCTAGAGTTAAAAGTGATAGCATGAATGTCATTTATATTGCTAGAATAGATGTCACATTTTATTTTCCCGTTATTTTATTTCTTTCCTGTTTGTCCAGTATATTGTCATGTTCTTGTCGCTATAATTTCTGTCACCCATTTTATTAGTTCCACCTTGTTATTGATGATTGATACATTGTTGTGTTTGTGCATTTCTATTATTTTGCTTGTTTGTTATTTCTTGGATATGAGAAGTTGCGTAATGTTTTAGTGTTTACTGGCTGCATTTTATTATTCATTTATATCACCATGCATAGGAAGCAAGATGAATTATTAGATCATTACGGTGAATCACATCATCTATGCACTGAATGTCGGGCTCAGCAACGTATCTCATGTTTCGCAACAGCAGATCGCCTAGGTTTGCATCGTTTTCAAGAACACCCAAATGAAGTAGCCAATGATCCTAATTCTTGGCTCCCGATCTCCATACGACATGCAACAACTGCTGATTCTGCTTTTAGACGACGGGATCAAGTGAATCGTGATGTATATAGTGTTGGTGGCGTTCTTGGTGAGTTGCAATTTGGGGCTCATTCATGAACAATATTTAATTGAGTAAAAAGTAATTACTTGATGATTTTCTAAACCCCCTAGACGTAATTATCCCACTTGGTTTGTGTTGAGGGTTTAGAGAATTTGTCAAGCATACATGTGAATAACACTAGGAATCAACTGCGCAAATCCACTCTTGTTTTAAGTTATATTAGAAAAAGTAGTTGTTTCTGACGTGCTAACTGGGGATGTTTTGGTTCTCAAACTTAAATATAGAAGTTTCATTTGTGTTTAAAATAATTTTAAGCATTTTTTTGAAATCGTGTCTCAGCGATCAATGTATTTTTCAGTAACAACTAGGTTGGAAATCTCGAACAAAAATATTTCATTTATCATATGGTTTATGTATCCTGAATACGTGAATGCACCACGTTTTGTTAGGAAAATGGGATATTTTTGACAGGATATGTTCGTTATCTGTTCTCAATGCTTCATCTTCTTAGTGTTACTGTATCATTCTGTATGGCGCATCCCTTGATGCCTTTGTACCCGGTTCACGTAGAAAATGAAATATCTAAAAAAATTATTATACACTGTTTTATCCCATCCATTTGGTCAAGCTTTATTCGAATGCCTACTGCTTGACCGTAACCCAGTATTATAGTAAGCATTTTCTCAATCCTACTGAATTAACTTTACTGTTAAAACAATATTGAAACTTGAGTTGTTTTGACATACCGAGAATAAATTGTTTCATGAATTACGAAATATCTCTCACTCCAGTTGAATCCACTCTTGGCTTTTACCTTTATGATACATTACCGTTCGGAATGAAAGCCACTATAAGTTTGTGACTTGTGATAAAAGCTATTTATTAATACTAGTGTCACTTCAACTAAATGCTAACAACAATAAATTTGGAGCTCGAGGGCATTATTTTCGGTTTTATTGCCTATATGAATTAGTTGCTACATATGCCTTCAGACAAATACAGATTTTGCTTATGCGATTTCAGATGCTTCTGATGGTAGACTTATTCCAGAGGACAATTCTAATGTATCTTATCGTCGGCCTAATCCTTCTGAATGGACAGGTGAAGATTTCCCCTCATTACAGTCTACCAGGCCACTGGTGTCTGGCTCTCAAGCAGCAACAGATGGACCGAGTAACCTCCAAACTACTGTACAAAGACTAAGGGAATCGGCTAGTGCATTAACAGAACGAGAAGGGAAAGATACAAATAATGTTCAAGATAATCGACCAACAGTGGGAACAAGTTGGCTTTCTCGTGTTGCTAGCATCAATCTTACTAACAAGAATCGTCTTACATCAGATGACTTCCCAAGTCTAACGCAATCGCCAAAATCTTCTACTGGTATGAAATCTGTCATTGACTTTTTAAAAATTTTTTCATGAGGATGTTTAAGTTGCTTGTGTTCCGAAGACAGCACTATTCTTTGGAAACTTTCATTACTGTCAATGAAAATACGTAAACAGTGAGGTAGATTAATAATAAGAATAATAATGCAGCTTCGCAATTATTTACAGGTTAATGTGTTTGGATACTTTAGCGATATGCATTGTTTGAAGGCTCTAGATTCTGCCAAGCTGTTTTAACTTCTACCGTGCATACCAGTTAATGTTACAGGGTAAAAGTTAATTGTTTCGACGTAGGTTGTAGTAGAATGACGTTCAGTTGTTGATACGATATGTTGTGGTCTTCTCGAGTGCTATGGGCTCTCTGGAATGAAATTACTGCCTAGCTGATTTCACTTGATTGTAAATGTCCCACAAACCCAAATTGAGTAATAACCAAGAATGACTAATCGGTCGTACTATATCTTACAGTACTATATCATGAAACCAAAGAAAACATGCTCATAAATAATAACTGAAACTCACTGTGAGTACAACACCTAATAAATTACACTTAATGAAGAGTAAATTGAATTCCACACTACAGCACATGTATTTGCACAATTGCGTGTAAAATTGTCTTACTGCCTATTCTGTCAATCAGCTTAACCCTTATTTCGTAATGAATAAACGCGTACCGAGTATAGTTACCTAATAATGATGCAATAATGCAATAGCGTTTCAATGTAATATATGTGGCATCAGAATTCTACATAATAACCCAAAACGTTTGTAGCCTTTTCCTGTTTCTTGGGGTTAATTTTTTAATATTGAACATTCATTATCATAAAGAGACAAGCTTTTCTTTAGATAGTCAACGTCTAACTCATAAATATGCTCTAGAATTTTTATGTAGGTGGAAATTGTCGTTTCGTTTACATTCGTAGTTTAGTTCAAAACACTTATTTAATATTTCTCGTCATTGTAAATAGTTTTATTTTAAATATTTCTCTTCTTTTTGTCTGCTTGGTCATTCAGGTAATCCTCCCACTTGGGTTAACAAGAGTAATGCGTCTGGTGTCATAAAAAATTCACAGTTTTCATCTGGTGCCTCTGTAAATTCATCTGGTTTCACAACTCTTGGATCACTTGGATCAGCCATCTCTAATCCCGGTACTTCCCGTTTGTGTATTGGTTTCAATTGCAGTTAACCGTCGTGTAAAAGCCAGATTCGTCTGATACTGACTCAACAGATTTACACGTACTTCATTTTTAGATTTTGATAGAATACTTAGATAAACAGACCATACACCAGTATTATTTTCGTGTTTGCTCATCGTAAGGATTGGTGATCATTAATCGGAAAATTATTTTGTAGAGCAGTCAATGCATTTAGATCATACTGATGAGGGTAACGTACACCACTCATCATGTCTGATTACCAATGAGTAATGGTTTGTCATCTAGGGTCTACGCTGTTTTCTTATGTGCAGCTGTCGGTCATCTATTTCGGAAGCAATTGACGCTAAAGGACTGATGATTTTAGAGACTTTATTTTCGTATGTTGAAATTATCAGTAGAATAACTTAAATGTTATATCATCCTTAGTCTACAAATTTGCGAAGTGATACCAACTTGCAGGTCAGCATGACGTTGCTAATTAATTTGTATTTTCTAGGAGAACATGAATCAGTTGACGTAATGGCTGACCGTGGCTTACCTTGACATGCGACTTTATTCGACATGAAAGAGAGAGTGGGAGATCGAATTGAAACAATCTTTGTCTTCATGCATTTAGCAACAGTTCGCTTTGTTCTTTTATGAAACGTGGCTAGCAGAGTTGTAGTAGTTTAGAAGGCCTCATGTTCGCGACCACGGTTACCTTCACAACACTAATCGTGCGTCACAAAACCAATACATTAGTAACGTATTAGTTATCCATGGAGTTTTACTCAAGAGTGGTGGATCAGTTGACGAGGTTATAAACCTTCATCTACTCAGATGGCTGGGACATTTTAAGCATATCTAGTCACCGTCTCCCCTGTCGTGCAATCTTAGATGAAGTAGATTTGAACTGTTCAGACGTGAACGTGGCATCATTTCCCGAAGCCGTTGACTAATGATCTGAGCATTGCAGAGGAAATGTGGACTTTCAGGTTGGGGTCTGTGTGAAAACTTAGTAAAGTGGTTAGAGACTAGGTGATATGGTTTAGAGTCTATCTCAATGTTACAGGTGCGTCCATACATTATCTTCATCTTAATCGTCATATCGCGCTTCATTAATTGTTTTTACTCCCTCTTGTGACCTACGAATTTTGACCACGTTTTGTTTTGTTGTTTCTTTGTCTTTCATCTTAATAATGTGTTGTTAGGTATAGTAGTTTGGATTGTTACTCAGTAATACGAGGTTCCACTTCATTATTGACTGACCTGACGTCTGTCATCGATGTTTGATCCCTTACTGTATAAGAAAATAAAATTGCTTTTTCCATTAGGTGCTGTAGCTGAAACCTTCTGTGGGAGAGAAAACACGCGTTCAAAGTCGATTGTAGTAGATTGTATGTATTCATTATACAAATATCACTAAATGATGGAAATGTTCTTATGTATATATGCTGCCCGTTTACTGAAGTCTTCAAGAATCATTTCATTAGTTACTTCTTGTTCACTCACAAGATATGTTTTCTTTAAAACGCTTTCCAGTGCTAATATCTCTACTCCATTTCTTATGAGGTAGGTAATAATCCACCATCATGGCCCAATGTAAATAATAGTTTGGATTCTGAGGAGAATCCAAAGCTGTCGGTGGCTCCTGTAGTGCCAACTCCAACACCACTAGACTTTCCAGCTCTTCCAAGTAACCCTGGTCGTCTAAAAACTCCTACAAGTTTAAATTCAAAAGCAATCTCGGAGAATAAAGCAATGACTTCAAAGATGTTATCAAATGGTACAAAGAAACATGTCGAAGTGATTGGAAGAGCTGGACTGAATAATACAAAAAATGTAATGTTAAGCAAGGCATAAGGACAAGAGACGATGAATTGAATGATTCTGGCGGTATGACTCTAAGAGACGAAAGTGATAAGGTACGTTTTCAGTTGGTTCCTATTTATTTCAATTATGACAAGGATTCAGTACGAATTAGTTGCTTAAAAAGTAGACGGACTGAAATCAGGGTCAGCTATAAATAACACCTAGGTTTCCTACTGGAAGACTTCAGAAGTTGCCCAAGTTTTTATTGTTAAGTCTGAGGATAGTTAGGGAAGCAAATCAACGTAAAACCACACAGACGTGCACCACTTTAAGTTGTCACACTTCATGGCAGCATGAAAAAAGGAATTGGATAGAAGAGGAATGACTTTATTATCGACAAAAGTGAATCCTGGCTGGCAGAATAGAGGTGAAGGTTCGTCAAATTGCTCACGACTTCAAAGATGGTGAGAGAGAGAGAGGGAGAGACGCACTCAGCCATCATTTGCACGTCCGCGCGGTAAGCAACGAGCCACACTTATTTTGTGGGGGCTGTTAATACTATCTGACTGCCCAAACCTTGGTAGGTAGAGCGTGGCTCGAACTCGTGACCCAGTGGTTGGTAGTCATCGCCCTAAACAACTGAACTACAGCTCAAAAGTGGCGGGGGGTATACTTGTGCATCACCGTGACCAGTTTTGTGCTATATCACAAATGGTGGCCGAACGTTAGTTCTTAAATTTTTTAGGGCCTAAATTAATCTGTCTACATCTGCTAACACCTCTCACCAACAGTCAAATTACGATTACAGTCACGCAGTTATTCACTATTTGATCAGTAATACAGCGCTAATCCTTGCACTTCAGAGGATTGTCAGCCCTTGAGCTTTGTTTTGAAGATACTCAAATATTACTGAAAGGAATCTTAAATTTATCCAGTGATTGTTGTAGGGGTTATCACAATATTATGAGAATATCTGTAAAGTTGGAGCTAAAAAAGTCTGTATTTGATGCAGCGTTATTGTCATTTGGACGTTCAATTCACATCGAAAGAGAAATCGGAAAATAATGTGCCCCTTATTCGACAGTCTTCTATACAAAAACCGTGGCTAAGATCTTCGTTACTGATACCTTTATAATGCTGAAGTTCTGTGAAGTAGTTTGATTACACTGTGTGACAAGTCATCAGAGTTATAATTCCCAAGGTAAACTTCCTGTTGAAGGTTTTAGGGTATCTTCTGTGTAGTTATTCGTTGTTTTGATTAGGGATTTAGAGGTTTACATACTAGCTACTATTGCACAACACATCTGTAGCATTACTTTTTCGTGCACCTCAGATCATCCTTGAAGGATAAATTCTAAGATTTCAAGCTGGTTTTTGTTTAGAAGTTGTAATTTAACTACTTTGTTATTGTAGCAACGTAAAAAATATGAACATTAAAGTAGGAAAATTATTTTCTGTTGGTGGAACCAAACATATGTAATATAAATGTTCAACGTAAACGTTGTATTACCAACGACTTGGTCACAATTTCTAACTCATTCTCCTTATTTCGGTCTGGACAAATTGGATAGTATGGTTATCCATTTGGTTGTGACCATATTCCCTATTGATAGCGCATTCACTTACCTATACAACTGCTGCTGAGATTTATTGCTTGCTAATTGGTTAAAGCGTGTATCTTGGTTTCAAGTCGACGCTAAAAAAGTAGGTTGTTTCTCCTCAGTACTAAACTGAATTGTAAACCAACACGGTACAAGTTTATTTATTAAGCTGAGCCACATGCGTTATATGAAAGCCTTTGATGGTGTCCGGTTGTCCAGATTGAAGGAGGTGGGGGGGACTTGAAAGTCATTGTTCGTAAGTCGAGTGCTTAAGCCAATAAGCCATATCCAAGCATATGGATTTCTACATCTAATTTTATTCGAATATGCGTTGAAAGCTAATAATTTTAATTTGGCAGTTATGCACAGCTATTTTTTTTCACCGAATTGCTAGTGAACATCTCTAAGTACTGATGATAACTCTTAGTTTTAGCTAGACAAAAGTAGATAAAGATTCAAACCCTTCTTCAAATAACTTCATTGAGTTCTGACTCTTAGCTTGTGTTATTCGTTATTGTTTGTGTTACCCTGCTATATTTTTTCGGTTGTCTATACTTGATGCGTAATTATGTTCCGTTTTATACCTTAGTATATAGATGATCCTCCATTGGAAAGACCTCAGTTCACTCATATACAAACAGTTGAAATGGTTCCTTATTCCAACCAATCGATTCAATCAAATATACCCAGGTATGAACCACCATCTCAGGCAAACGACTTTCCATCCTTATCTTCCACTTCAAATGAAGGATTGAAGAAATCTCAGAAACAAGATGTATCACGAAAGCAACAATCTAAGGAAAAACCAACTGAGAAGTCAGGACGTCAGTTAGAACAAAAATGTCCCTCTTCTAGTGTGAATAACAATGTAAAGCCTGAAATCTCTAAACTAATCAAACTTATAAAGTCTATTCAGTTTAACGATTCGATGGACATAGAGTGTTTGTTATATGCCGAGGTAGGTTGAAGTTAGTTTCTGACTATTTAAATAACTTAAAAGCAATACGTATATATATAGTCATACTGTTTAATGTGGTCAATGCCATCTATGATTGGGTTTTCTTCTCTTCATCTTCCACTTCATTATCTTTTATTTGATGTACTGATATGAGCTATAACAACTCGTACCGCTACGCAGTGATGCCTAGTCCTATGTTGATTTGGACCGGTGGACGGATGAAATTATTATTTTGTTCCATTAGAGATAATTAGTGTTTAAAATCTGAACTGAATGAGGATTACAAAAGTGGATTGACTAGCCACTGATATATTGTATTGTGTGTTTAATGAACGAAACCACTTTGTGTATCAAAAACGTTTAGCCCAAAGTAAATGTGCTTATTATTATTATTATTATTTTTATTATTAGTCCCTTGGGTTCCTAGTGGAACATAGGGCTTCAGTAGCACGTCTCCAGTGACCTCTGTTCTCTGAGATCTTTTGAACCTGGTCCCACGACAGCCCAGAAGCTCTCATTTCCTCCTCGCACGACCTCCTCCATGTCACCCTTGGACGTCCAACTCGTCGCTTCCCATGGGGATTCCACTCGAGGGCCTGACGCGTGATGTCCTCAGTCGGCCTTCTCAGTGCATGGCCAATCCATCTCCACTTCTTCCTGCATATTTGTAGCGTGATAGGTTCTTGGTTGGTTCGTTCCCAGAGTTCCTTGTTGCTTATTCTTTCTGGCCATCTGATCTTCAGCAGCGAGCGTAAGCAGTTGTTGATGAATGTCTGTAGTTTATTGGAAATGCCTTTCGTGACGCGCCAAGTCTCTGAGCCATACAAGAGCACTGACTTGACGTTGGTGTTGAAAATCCGTATCTTGTTCCGCATGCTGAGTGCAGAAGATCTCCACACTGGTTTCAGGCTAATGAACGCCTGTCTTGCTTTTCCGATTCTGACTTTGACGTCCTCGTCCGTCCCTCCTGTAGTTGAAACAGTGCTTCCTAGATAAGTGAAGGAGGTTACTTCCTTTAAGTTTCTCCCGTTGACGGTGATTGGAGTTTGTTGTTGTTGTTGATGGTGGTGGTGCGGTATCTTCATCACTTCTGTCTTCTCTATATTCACTTGAAGTCCCGTCTTCGCTGCCCTGCCCTGCCCTGCCCCACCTCTTCTGCCAACTTGTTAGTTTTCGCCTGTAGATCTTCAAGTTTGTGTGACATCAGGCACAAGTCATCGTTGGCGAAATCCAAATCTTCTAGGTTCTTTTCCTCAGTCCAGACAGTGTATCCCCCTCTTCTCACAGCTCCTCACTGTTTGCTGCATGATCCAGTCTAGTCGACCGCAATCAGGAATATCATGGGGATAGTAGGCAACCTTGTTTCACTCCTGTCTTCACTTCAAAGGCATCACTGAGCTTCCCATTGTGAATTACTTGGCTGGCATGTGGCGTCTTCATTTAGTTGTTGAATGAGGCGGATAAAGGTTTGCGGTACTCCGTAGTATTGAAGCAGTTTCCAAATTACTTCTCGGTCGACGCTGTCAAAGGCCTTCTCAAAGTCGATAAAGTTAGGTAGAGTTGAATTGACTGCCATTCTAAACTCTGTTCTATGATGATGCGAAGCGTTGCAATTTGGTCTGCACATGATTTGTACTTCCTGAATCGAGTCGGCCTGTTCCGGTCGCAGTTTTGAATCCAGTGCATCTTTAAGCCTCTCCAGGATGATGCGGCTTAATACTTTACTTGGGGTGGACAGGAGAGTGATTCCGTGCCAGTTCTTGCAAGCACTGAGGTCTCCTTTCTTCGGCAGTTTGACAAGGTAACCCTTCTTCCAATCAGTTGGCAGGTACCTTCTCTTCCTTCCATACCTTCTGCAATAGTGGTGTGTTGTGAGCATGTCTGCTGTTGTCTCTGCATCTGTTCTCAGTGCTTCTGGCGGTATTCCATCTGGTCCTGCTGCTTTCCCGCATTTCAGCAGCTTTATGGCGTTCAGGACTTCCATTTTCGTTGGGGGATTTATGTTCAGTTGTAATTCAGCGGCTGCAGGTGGTATTTCTGGACGAAGTGCAGGTGGTGGTCGATTCAAGAGCTTCTTGAAGTGGTCGGCCCATCGTTTCCTCTGTTTCTCTTCTTTTGTAGTTAAATTTCCTTCTTCATCTTTCATTGGTTTCATCTGTGTTGGTCTCTTCCCTGATAGCAACCTGGTTATTTGATACAATGTTGTCAGGTCTCTGTCTCTCCTACCAGCCGCAGCCTGTTCTGCTTCACTTGCTAGTGCTTCGTAGAAGTGTCGTTTGTCTTTGCGCGCACTCTTCTTCACTTCTTTATCCAGTGTTTTATACATTGTGCTCAGTTCCTCTTGTCGTTGAGCATCCTTGCACTGGTTTATCTTCTGCTTCACCATCCTCCTCTCCTCTATCAGCTTCCAGGTATCCGTCCAGATCCATTCCTTGTCTTCTTTCTTCTTCCTTCCTAATACTGTTGTGCAGGTTTCTTTCTACATAGCTTTCAAAGACTTCCAGTGTTCTTCCACACAGGTTTCTTCAGGGATGTTCCTCGATGTCTCCCATTTTGTCTTGATGGCTGCCTTGAAGATCTCCTTTGTAGTTTCATCCTTCAGTTTCCGAGTGTTGTACTTGAATTGAGGTCTATCACCAGCTTCCTTGAAGGCTTTTAACTTGATTTGGAAGGCAGGTTCCTTGCACTAGATAGTTAGTGATATGAACCTACATCTGCTCCTCTTCTTGACCTTGTGTCAAGTAGACTGCGTCTCCATTTTCTTCAGATTGAGATAAAGTCGATTTGATTTTTAGTGTGTCAATCTGGTGAAATCCATGTCGCTTTGTGGATATCTTTGTGCCTGAACACACTGCCTCCAACCACCAAATCGTTGAATGCGCAGAATTCTGCAAACAGTTCTCCATTCTCATTCATTTCACCTAGCGCCTCTCGACCCATGGTTAGTTCTCTTCCTGTGTTGTCTGCTCCCAGTTTGGTATTCATGTCGCCCCACCCATTAGAATGAGTTTTGATATCGCCAACTGATGTTGGTCTTGTCCAGTGTTGATTGAAGTTGTCTGTAGAAATCCTCCTTTTTCTCTTGTTCTGCATTATTTGTAGGTGCATAACATTGTATGATTGTGACCTTCCTTCCTTCCTTTTGAGTTGAACCCGTCTTGCTGTCATGATCCTGCAGGAGGAGATTGGTTCCCACTGCATGAGAGCCTTCGATGCTGTTGAGGACATCATGATAGCTACTCCCTCAGTGTGCTCGTGGTTGGCGTCTGGGTGACAATATCGGAGTAGATTATTGATTCTCCAGTTGACAGTTTGGAGAGTCCACTCCCATTCCATCTGCTTTCGCAAATTCCAAGCACTTCAGTGTGATACCTCTTCATCTCGTTTGCAATCTGGGCTGCCCTACCAGCTGGGTTGAAACATCGTGCGGACATTCCATGTCCCCACATTTACTTTCGCTTTCCTCGAGGGAGAGAAGACACATCGGCCAATTGGCTTCCCGAAGGCTTTCACCAACTGGCGTCATTTCGCCTCTTCGATTCCAGCGGGGAATAAGTTTGTTTTCATTTTTTATATTTTGTTTGTGCTTTGAAGTTTCTTTAGCGGTTAGATTTGTTTTACGGGGTAGGGTTGCTAGCCCTATGCCCAACCTTCCCTCTTTACCCGGGCTTAGGACCGGCTAGTAACTAGTAAACTAGTTAACCAGGCGAGGTTAAATGTGCTTAAGTATGGATATTTAATAATAAGTATTGCATCTTATTGAGAGAGAAACTCACCAAGTATTCTTTCAGTCTGTCTACCTGAGTTTGTATTTCTCTTCTCTGTGATTGGAGAAACGAAGAAAGGAAAACAGAAACAGAGCAAAAATGATTGGTTGCACAGGACATTTAAAGTATGTTTTATTGTACGATTGCATCTCTACTTGGTGAACTTTGTTGCTGAGGAAGAATGATCTTCCGATAAGGTGAGAATGCACGGTGGAAACTATTTGTAGCTCTGGAGTATTATTTCAGTTGTAGTAGTTTTGCCCAGGATGGAAGTAGGTAAAAGATAATGCTACCTGGCTTCCGAAACCTGGGTAAATGAAGCGGTATCGGAACCCATGATCCACTGGTTAAAAGTCAACTGGCTACTGGATAATAAGTTTTTGTATTTCTCTCACCTTGTAATGTAGCTGAAATGTTTGTCTAATTTTTGCATTCACTGTTTACTTTTTCTTCATTGACTTCTATTTTTATGTTTTCATTAATTGAAGTCTCAGTACGTACCTCCACCTGATGCGGAGACACGTAATCGTGAGTTAATTCGAACAGTGGAAACTGATTTGTTTGATAAAAATGGTCGAACAGCTTTTAGTCGATTTGCTGACCTATCACGTCGCTACCGTCATAAACAGATCAATGCAACAGCATATTTGGAAGGTTTAGCTGGTCTTTTGAGTGTTGGAAACGTTAATAAGGACGATGACAATAAACACGAAAGTGAGCTGATTTATTAAGTGTTTTTATAATAGTTCTAAATAATTGTACTTAAGAATACCAGTGATTTGTCGAGAGTATTCCTCTTTAGCATGGTTTCGCGTATGCTAGTGATGAAACAGCTGACAGTCAAAGTTGTAGTTCAGATCACATCCCTGTCAAAATACACTGTTCAAGTGATGTTAACTGATGGTTTCAATTCGACAACTATATAGGCGACTACCGAGTTGAAGTACCAGTTCATGATTTCGTACCTGATTATAATATTAATAGTGAAAACAGCATAATAAGCATTAGACATCTACATGGCTCTTGATCGTGTAGTACGAATAATTGCGCTTTGTACAATGTTGGACATAACTTATGCACTAACATAGTGAACCAGATATGCTGGGTGTGTAATTAGAAGACAGAAAATGAATAGATATAGATTCATACTTCTAGGACATATGGAACCTTTTCAAGAAGTCCCGTCGATATTTATACTTACGTCCTAGAAGTTGCCCTGACAGACAACTGACAAAGTCAACGTAGAACCTCGCCTACAAGGGCATCGGTTCAAGCTGTCATACTTCACTGTAGAACGAAGAGAAAGCTGGATATAAAAGGAATGATATCAAAGTGGATAAAGTAGTGTAAGAGAATAAACAATCTAAAGACAAAGGTTAGTGTGAATATTTTAACTTTAGAAAATGTCAGAGAGTGAATTCACCGACACCGTTGTGACCGATTTTCAGCCATGTCACCAAGAGTGCCCAACCCCTGATTCCTTTCGTCTGGGGGACCCTAACTAGACAGTTTACATCTCCCCCACATGACTCAGACCAACAATAAGAGACTTCATCGACTGGGAAACCTTATAGACTTTTCTGTTCGGTTATAGGTCGTTTTTTTCTTCACGAAAAGCATGAAAACACTAGCAAAATATTCTCTCAGTAGAATATAAAATTAGAAAACATAAGCAGGTCTTCTGGTGTGACTAACTATTTTCATAACAGTATGCAATCTGCAGATTGATAAAAACACTTTGAACCCGTTTTAGGCATGGGTACAAATTGCTGTATTTCTCAACTTGATAGCAAAGAAAAGAAAGGAATTGCATCGCGCAATCACTAGAAGTTTCTGTTCAACCATTGGTTTCAGTCAATGAAAACTGATGACCAATGGGTTCTGAAACAGTTTTTTCCATCGACTACGAATAATTCTACAAAGAGCGGCTACTTTGGTATATAAACCTGACGTCACAATCACTACATAGTATCTGACAGATTAGGTAATTTTTCTTAATTCGCTCTACTGGATCTTTCAGCTTACAAAGTTCCTGTTTAAAAGACCCCAGTAGAGCCAATTGATAAAACCAACCTAATCCATCGAATATCATGTAGTGATTGTGAAGTCAAGTATTATAGGTTGGAATAGGTGAGCATAAAAATTTAGCGAAACGTACAATGGTAAGCCTTACTAAGATACGGTATTCAGAGGCAAACTCGGCTATCGCTCTACGCTGGTCCATAATTACACTGTAGTGAATGGGGGGGGGGTGACATTTCTAAAATCCAATATGCCTAGGTGAAGGGAAAGATTAATCACAGAGTCTTTTCCCATAGAATCAACGCCTAATATATGTAACAAGAATAAGCTGATATACCTGTGTGAGAGGTTCTAAGTTGTTTTTGTCAGTCAACAGGAATCACTGGTCATGTATTGCAGATATCTGGAAAAAAATGAAAAAGCACTGGACCATATAAACGAAGCTTGGAAGTTGTATGATCACTTTGATATAAATATGAACAATAAATTCTGCTCGACAGGTTGTCATGCAGTAGATTATACTTTGTCATTATGTGATATATCAAGTGAACAGTCTAATATGGAATTATACTCTACCATATTGCCAAAGTTTTTCTCTTACATTAATGCACATTTAAATCGATTTGGTTCACTAATTGCATGCATCAAATAAACTGTCTGATGCCTCTGAAAATACCCTAGTTAAGCAAACATTTTTCTGATTCCGTGTATAAATGTTGTTGTCATTTACTCGAGTTTTTACCAGTGCTACCAACTCTGTTCAAACACACTGACTTTTCAAGAGCTTTTGGAAATTCACCATTTCTATTCAACAGATTTGTACACTTTTCGATAATGTGAGTGCAGTATGTGTTGCTTTAGGAAAAAACCACACCATAATGTAGGCTTATCTTGTTAGCTAATTCTACTAGGTACTGAAGTCAGTATGTTAATCGCTATTTGTGTTCCCGTGAATGTTTTTGTTGTAAATTCAACTCCAGTGGAAGTAGTTCAGGATTAAATTCATGTATTTGTCCAGTTAACTTCTCCTTCAGTTGGCATATCAGCTTCCGTTTCCAAACATTTTCACTTTATCATATTTCTATTTATGTATTTCATCAACTCATTCATTATATTCCTTTTGCTATACTATTATAAACTTTGCAGCTCTATTTTTCGTTTATTTTTTTAGATATCCCATTTTGGATAGCTCCTATGATTTCTTTGTTGCCAGACATAGGTCTTCAACGTGCCTTACTCCGTGCTCTTCAAGCTCAAGGGTGTCCACGCATTCCCATTGATATGCAAGAGGCTTTAGCAAAAAGTGGTCATCATTTTAAACGTAGCAAAACTACTATACTGACACCACCTTCTTGGGCGAAAAAGGTTCTAAAAAGACTGCAGACATGTCAAGAATGCGGTCAGGTGCGTCTGTGTTAACATTCTCCTTTATAGTATCGCTTTCCTAATTTACTAAAATGATGTTCATGGTGGGAATGTTTTTTCTCTTCTGCGTTTTTGATGTGGTTGTCCTTATCACCTCATCTATGAGTCCTCCTATTAATGACAATACCGGAATATGGTTCAGTGGTAACGTGGTGACCGAATTTAGGTGTGAGCGAAACTCACGGAGAACAAGTGTGTTTACTGCCAGTTTATATTTCTATTCAGTGATCATCATTGATTGTGGGACAGTGGTTGGAGACTCTAGGTGATATGGCTGAGGATCGAAGCCAGTGGCGCAGATGTATACACACATTATCCTCATCTTAACGCTCTACCGAATCACACTATTTTCTCATTCTTCCTTTCTCTTCTTTCGTACTTTATATTTCTTTTGATTGGGTTTTCTTTTCTTCATCTTGCATTTCACTGCCTTTCTACTTGACGTACTGATGTGAGCTGTGGCAACTCGAACCACTACACAGTAATGCCTCGTCCTATGTTGATATTGATGATGATACCCAACATCCAGCCTGAATCTGAATAGAAAGTAGATGTTAGTCCTTCAACCCTCCTTGACGTTGAGGAATTTGTGTCGAACCTGAAAGGATGCCAAGCAGCAGGATCTGACAGTTTGCCATCTGACGTTCTTAAGGATAAAGGTAGGAAATTGCTGTTTAAAGTAACAGGTACTTGGTAGTGTAATGAGGTAGCGCCATCAGACTGGTCTACTTCAATGATCATCCCAGTTTATAAAAAGGGAGACAAGTCTTGTAACAATCAAAGGAGAATTAAAATGACTAATATTGTATCCGAGATCTTTGGGTTCATAGTTATCCGACGCCTAATTGGAGCTCGAGAACAGCAAACTTGAGGAAACTAGGCGGGTTTCAGACCTGGACGAGGCTGCATCCATCAGATTTTCACCCTCCAACAGGTTCTGGAACTCAGGCTGCTGCCTGCTCTGTCCTGTTGTGGGTCTGTGAGACATGGCCGTTAAACGTAGAAGATATGAAGCGATTGCAAGGTTTTGATCATAGGTATCTTTGTACCGTTGCTCGCGTTTGGGGAAATCATCATGTGAGCAATTTCGAAGTCAGACGGAGGATATTAGGCACGAAAAGCAAGTTGATTGGTGACGTCGTAAACCTTAGTCGGCTGAGATGGCTTGAACATGCATCAGAAGTCACCGCCTACTTCGACGTGCCATGCTAGGGGAAGTTCGATTGCGTTGGAAGAGAGTTCAGAGTGACCAGACCAAGACCGGGCACTAGTCGATAAAGTGTCTTACTGGTGGTCTGAGCCGTGTGGGGCGATGTAGACTGTCTTGTTAAGGTCTCCGAGACGAATGGAATCAGTGGTTAGGCATTTTTGGTAACAGAACTGAAAATCAATCACAATTGCGATGTATTCATTCCTTGATATGTTCTTAAGCTTGACTATTAGCATTAACCCTTATCTTCAGATTATTTATTTTCTTACACTACTTTATCTACTTTAATATTACTCCTTTTATATCCATCTGTTCTTTTTGTACTACTGTGAAGCGTGGCAACTTGAGCCGATGCACTTATTTAGGAGGTTCTGAGTTGATTTTGTCATTCATTATTTATTAATGTATTGACCATAAGTTTTGTTACAGTGGGAATGATTATCAAAGTGTCAAAAGTCGAAAGTAGGTAAGCTACAGTTGAGAAAAAATGCGCTTGTTTTAAATGTAAGCAGAGGGATAAAGCTTTAACTGAATTCTAATGTCTTTCAAACTCGTTTTCAAGCCCATATTGTATGCTAGAATTTATTTTAATTTAAAATCAGCCAAATAAAAGAATGATGCATCATTTTTCAAAGTTTATGATAAAATAACATAACCAACAAGACGTAATATTGGAATTGCTGTTCACTTCCTCTTACTAAATAAGAAATTCCTGATTTTAATCAAACTTTGTGACCGTAAAATTATTTTGTCATATTCTGTTCTATTTGTTTTCATTTGGATTATTAGTATTTTCTTTATTTAATTAGGTATGTCTACGAAACGACTTGCCGATTCATGTTGAACAGGCCCATTCTGCTCCATAATGATATATATATATATATATATATATGCATGCTACTTTTGGCATTCCGAAGAAGCCTATCAGCAATCCAGTCTTTCGGCCTCCTAATTAATTCATCTATGTTTCACCAGTGACTTCATTCTTAGTTTCTTAATGGTCTACTTATTCTATGAATCTCTTTTTGCATACTTCTCACTGTTACCCTGATGAGTGTACGGGTGTGTATATTGATGGCACATAAGGTGTCTAAGGGCGAATTGTAACTATAGCCATTTGTTTCATTGGTGAAAATTATTAATTTCACTTTTATGTGGATTGTTTTCTTTCTTTGAAAGACTTCCATTCTTTTTCACACTATCTTCTCTTGTACACACAACTATCACTTGTTGTTTAAGTTAGTATTGGTTATTTAGTTAATGAATAAAAAAGCTATGTGATACACGCATTTTTGTTTACAGTTGTTTGCATGATTCATAATGCTTTGAAGTTATTTTTAGATTGACTAGTGGGATAGTAAATACTGACACCTGAATTAGCTTAAATTTGTAAAGTCATTAAGAGATATTACTTTTCACTCGAAACCGTCTCCCTAACTATAATAAGTGACTAACTGATAACATATCAGCTTGTTGACAGTTTCATCACAATGCGTGGATGGTCACCGTGTACAAGGTGAGGGAGATGACTTTTGACTAGTGGGTCACAGGTTTGAGTCCCGCTCCACATGCTGAGGTTTGGGCAACCAGGTAGTGTCGCTCACCCTCACGCAATAGGTGTGGCTCATTGCCTAGTGCACGGAAAGTGCATAAGGTTGCTAAACGCGTTCCGTTCGTTCTTGTACAAAGTGATTCTTACATCTTTTTTCTCATCCTATAGAAGCTGTCTAGAAAGTAGTTAACATTTCAGTGAGATCGAACATGTGCATTTTGATTACTTATTGCAGATAGGTAGGTAAAATAGTTAGCTACCTTGCAATGTCAAATAGTACTTCGCGTACTTTTAGTTATAAAAATGTTATGAACCTTGGTATAGCTTGAATTTTCCAATCTGACTCGTCACTGACACCACCTATTTATGAAACTCCATGTAACAATTTGGAGAGAAAGGTTAGTGAAGATATTCAACCTTGATAAGAGGTCGAAGAGTGAATGCATCTGCGCTAGTGTTAACGATTTTTTGTTGTCGCCAAGGTTCTCTAGCTATTAATTCCTACCATTTCGAGAAACCTAACCGCGCATTCCGATTCCCTCTACACGGCTCAGACATTCAAAGACCATATATACTGGAAAGACTCTTTGATTTGGTTTACTTGAGCTTTATTTCAACCTATTGCTATTTTATATAGTAATGCACGATAAGGTAGGCTATGACTCAGCATGTGGAACAAATATCCAAGGCACCTCAGTTGGTGAGGGTTTACAATGTCATCGACTGATTTGCCTTCCTTGCTTGCAGCCATCTAACCTTGACATTGTTAACATAGTGATTACACCGTACGTGAGCAATCCCGTAAAAACATCTGTAGTCAGTGACTTGTAATCTCAGCACATCTACTTTCAGTGGCCGTGCTTTGAAGCCGCACAATAGGACAGTGAGCTGCAGCGCAGTTAGATATCTTGCCGGCGTCAGAAATGACGTTAGTTGACAAATACCAAACGGGCCTTCGGTATCTCAGCTGAGATTTCGTCAGCAACCAACCCGTTCGTGCTGACACAACTTCCCATATGAGTGAAGTAGTCAACGCATCCTACCACTTCACTTGATTATTAAACTACGAGTTGACGCAAACTAGTCCTAATGCACTATCTTGCATTTGACAGGTGCGCAAAACAGATACCGAAATATCTGCTCACGACTTTCAGAGAAGTTCTCTTTGTCAGTATCTTCACTTTACGGGACAATGTCGACGTACTCAACAAGATGCGCTCCGTGGAGTAGGTCAACTATTGTGAAGTAGGGTTATTTCCATCAGTACGTCTGTAGTGAAGTTAAGCAGGAACGGTCGGTTACAGCAAGCAACTCTGTCGGCCTTCACTGGTTGCTTTGACTGTGTATTAGCGCAATTCAAAGAATATCTCTAAAACGCCCGAAATGCGCATATTCGTTCCATAGGCTGATTCGTTCTGCTGCTACAACTTATATCGTCATTAATCTAGATTATTTGGTTTTGCTTTTGAAACTCGCTTGATTCGTGTAATCCAGTGATTTTTGACCATGTCATACTTCCTACTTGCTGTAGTTATGTCTGAGATTTAGACAATACATTGTGATAATAGATCTTCCAATTTGTTTTCAGAAATATTATTGGATAGTTACTTGCTTTTTATGTAGTTGTTATTTTTCTAGCATTTCCAGTAATACTTTTTATGCCATATAGGGTTTTGATTTGCTCACTTATTGTTATTTTGTTAAATCTAGCTTGAGAATGGTGAGCAAAAAGCGCCCAAGGTCAGTGAGGAAGGCACGTGCTACTGCTTTAGCCATACAGGAGAAGACATATTCAAAGACTCCACATACAATGATCTTCTCACGACCAGGAGTCGGTAGTTTGGTTAAACAGCTGGCTCTTGATGTTAGAGAGGTTTTTGAACCGTTTACTGCAAGCCGTCTACGCGTAACGCGTCAAAATGTTCTCAAAGATTTCATTAATATAGCTGGTCCATTAAATGTTACACATTTGTTGTATTTAACACATCCTCATGAAGAGAAACGTGCTCAGAAACATGCACGTAGATTAGCTAAAGCCTCTGCGAAACAGTTGACGAATGATGATAAAAGTCGGAACATGGACACGATGGAAGAAAGTTAGTTTCGTGATTTTTATGGTTTTGTTTTATTTTTTTTTGCTTTCACATAATCTTGACAAGTATTCTTGCTCAGTTGAATTACTTCCAATTTAAAACAGTAAATTCATTAATTGTCGTCAGCTGCAAACAGCCTGGAATTTGACTGGTCAGTGGAGTGGTTTAACAAAGTGAAACTGAAGTATAGTAAAAGAAATTTTACAGTGGACTTTTCTCAATGAGTTTATATCATTTCCAACCCAATAATAGTCTATGGTAGTAATGTAATCCCTCCGTTACTATTAAAGAACTCTTCCTTGTAATAACTCTAAATTTTTCTGTGTAATCGCAATGTTTAGCAATGACTCCCTGCTGTAATTAATTATTTCACTCTCTACATTCATTAAATTGAAAATAATTTATTTCAAGCTTCGATAGTTGTATTTTTTTCGTTTTTTTTGTTGATAGATATGATTCCTGTTAATAAAGCAGGTGATGGTGGTGTTTATTTGCATATGATTCGTGTTCCCCATGGACCTAGTCTCACTTTCCGTGTTTCTGAGTATAGCTTAAAACGAGATGTATTGACTTTGGTTCGTCGAGTTTTTGACTGCCGTCAGTACAGCACTCCACCGTTATTAGTAATGACAGGGTTTGGTTTGGGTGGTTCTAATACAACTACATCAGCTCCACAACCTCATTTACGATTGGTCGTTGATATGTTTCAGAATTTGTTGCCTCCATTAAATGTTCCAAAGGTATGCTGTTTTATTTAACCAGTTTAGAGATGTAACTTTGGTTCGAAGTGTTATATTAGGGCGTATACACTAACGACACAAGTTACTTGACTGATTCACCCTAACTTTCAGTGCTATTTGAGGCTTGAATTGAAAACTCAAGTAAATGTTTAGTTCCACAGTAACTTTTTAAGTAAACAGGGATAGCATTATTTATAATAAAAGTCGCAAAAGTTCCCCAACATTTTACATTGAATGTAGCCGTTTGGATTTCATAAAAAAGTTATATATGATGGTAGTGATGGTATATTTGGGTAACGGTATGTACGTGTATCAGTAATTCAGCTTATTTTAGGGGATAAAACTTATAATGCTATCTACCTTAGAAACGATTATGGGTTGTCTTTCTTGTTTGAAGATATATCTTTATATGGTCATGTAGAACCTTGAAATATCACATTTTTTCGAAATACTTGCGAAAATCATGTTAAAGTAATTCATTTGAATCAATAAAGAAGATGGGCATTCTTTAGGAGTGTGCCGTGATCACTGTTTTCCTATGAACAGCTAATCCCCTACTCAGATTCCGCTATTATTGTCTAAATTTAGAATTTTTGAGGTAAATTGGATCTCATTTGTTCATCTTATGAGATACCTCAATCACACATCACCAGAAGTGGTATTCATCATGTTTTTTTTTGTGTCGCTCTCATATGGTCAGAAGTCTGGTAATATGAACGATTGCCTTTTGAGCAGTGTGTGCAATGTAGCAAGTCATCCCATCCACTTTGACTACTGATGTATCTTAGAAAGTTAGAAACGCATCGGATTTTGTCATTCCTTGATTTCATAGGATATAATTTCTCCAGTATCTATTGCTTAAGGAAAGTATAAAGTTTCGCGAAATATGATCGTTGCTTAGTAACTATCTCTATGTCTCAATCAGATATATTGGATCATGGTTGGAACTCTCCAGATAAGGTAGGTATAAACAGTTGAAACTGACAGCTAGTAATCTGATGGATCATTGACTTGTATTGTTGATACCAACTTTAAGTCTTTCTAATTCAGCCGAAACCACTCATGTAAATCTTCAGCTACTTAGCATGCTTATGGATATTCGATTGCATGTACAACCTCATCCACCATTTCATAATGTCAAACATGACTTCGAAGTCACTCAGGAACAAGTTATATGATTATCTTATGAGTAGTATGCAAAAGAATTTTTCATTTCGTGGCGCTCACTTTCTAACTGTTGTTATTATATATCAATTTAAAAAAGTTTGTTTAACATGTGATTGTTTAAACTATTCAGCTCAAGCTTAGCACTGTTAAACGTGTTTTGCTAGTCAGTCGGGAAGTTGACGCTACTATCCATAATGGTGATGATGAGAATTCAAAGCAGTTGAGCGATGTTATATACATTCGACACTTTCATATTCGAACAGAAAACCGATGTATAAGTCGCGCACTACGACGTCTTGGAATGGGTGGTGTGAAGCTAAAACGCAGACGTCTGACTGACTTTGATTCAAATTATGGTATTGGTCCAAGCGGTTCGGGAAAGTCTACTGGTGTACCGAATCTCGCTAAATATTCATCGATGGATGACTTCTTGACCAAGTAATTAGTTGTTTATATTTATGTATATATCATATGCTGATTGTCGAAGTTTTTTTGGTTGCTGATAGATAACAGTTTTTAATCTCGTTGCTGCCTTTACGCTGATCGTATAGCAAATCGGTCTTTCACAGCACGCAAACGTTATTCTGTAACGAAGTATTCATCACTAATTACAGTTTCATCAGTTGAAAGTTCAGTCTATAAAAGAGTTTGATAGTGTGAAACGTCTCATCAAAATGCATTGGCTCGTAGTGCCGCACATCACTATGGCACGAAATCAGGAAGGTAATAGTTTTAACAAGAAAAATACTGTCGAAGAAACATTCACACACAAATTCATACTGTAGTGCTGAAGATGTCGTCTAGAAAGACGGTGAAAGCTCCACGACTAAACAACTCAGCTCAGAGAACACAAGACAACCAATATATACAGGGTTTCATCCAGAAGGCCTACATTTTTCCATATGGCTCAGAATGATTTGTGTTTATTTGGTTACGCTCAGCTTTTTCTCAAACCCTTACTCACTTCAGCCATCTTAGACTTATGACTTTCTTGACCAAAACGCTGTAGTTCTACTGCAAATGAGTATTAATTCGAAAACGCCTATCAGATGGACAAAAAGACGTAGACAACATTATTCTCATAAATGGAGTAAGTTATTAAAAATCCGGGAACAATTTGTATCATCGCTCGCCAAACCACCACGACTGATATTCTACTCTAATCATCATGTCAAACCATTTTGCCTCCTGTTATCTCTTGAATCTTGCCTGAAAATCGATCATCAGGATGCAGATGTATTCACTCACTCTCTGACGTCTTCTATAGCTTAAATACTCATACCTGCCTTTATCTTTTTGTTGTTTATTCTGTCACACAACTTTGTCTACTTTAATAACACTTTTTCTACCCACCTGTTCTTTGCATAACTACTGTGAAATGTAGCAACTTGAACCAATGCACCTATGCAAAAGATTCTACGTTGATTTTGTCTGTCCGACTTGCTGCATAGTTGTAGACCATTTGTAACTTGACAGTTTATGTTTAGGAATTCAGAAATGCATCCCTGATTTTCTTACATTATAAACAGTTCTGTTGATTTCCATGAATTTACAAACTTCCATGTATTTTTCAAACAATTAGTTCTCTTATATGGGTTGTGGACATTTGCATCTTGGAGCGAAATAAGGTTATTATTATTAGTTGATACTTGTAATTATCCGTTGTTACACTGGATCGAAGCGATTGACCTCTGTTGACATATAAAACTCCTATGCGGACCCCTCGATATCGCCTGAATATTTATTATTATAATAATAACTAATACTTGTTGTATAAGAGGTAACTATTGTGCCTTATTGGGCTAGTGGAATAACGCTTTGACTTTTGAAGCGATGGGTACGAGATTCGAGTCTCAGTGGAAACAACATCACTCCTTGGCGTGTAGGTACTTTTAACTGATAAGTCCCAAATAAAACGAAACGCGCGTCCTGGGTCCCGTGACTAGTCACAACCAAGTCGATTGTAAATAAAGTTATCCAATAGTTTTGTATACTTACGCTTATATTTTTGTTATCAGTGAGTGGCAATCTTGTTTTTTCTATCTTCTGCCGTCTTATATCAGTGTTACTTTAGTAGCATTCTGATAATATATAGAATATAACACAACAAAACACAGTTTAGTTACGCTCGTGATCCGTCCTACAATTTATTTGATATTTCGATCTAGTTTAGGCAGCAAAGTAATCTCTGTCATATGCTGCTTTTCTTTTCTTATTATACTGGTTGTTGTCAGGCCTCTAGTGTAAATAATGCTAATTTACAGTCCACTACATATGTATATGCTAAACACGAGCCACACCTAATTGTCTGAACTAAAACAAGTAATGTGGATTTGTGTCTGTGATCCAGTCGTTAGAGGAACAAACTATACAAAGCTACAGCCCCAATAGAAATTAACCGATTAGTTTTATTCTGTCGAACAGTCATACACTTTCGTTTTATTTTTTAAGATTTTTTATTCCCTTATGAAAATAATGTTCATATTTCTTATTTCAATCTCAGTCACACTTTCATACTATGGATTTTTCCTGCTTTCCAGAACTGGATTATTGTCAGATTCAGCTCTATCAGATATCTTATCAGATATGGAGGAAGTCGACGTGGTTCCAGATGTCAACTTACCTTCGTCAGGGTTCGCTAACAGTGACACTCTACAGTCCTTATCAGGTTCGCGAAAACGTAAACGTGATCGCAATGCTGCTCCAGTCCATGGATTAAAACATCTTGGTACAGCTAAGAAAGCCACGCTTCGTCTGACTGAAATTGGACCACGTTTAACATTGAATCTAATAAAGGTACTATCCTATTACTTAACTCTCAGCTTTGATTGGTAAGGTTTTTATTATACACTGTAGTTATTGTTTAATCTTACACTTTTAATGACGAAACTGCGTCTCTGAAGATAAATGTAAATTTTCTTTTCGATTGATAGTAATACTTAACCGTTAATAGCTATTGTGAAAGATACAGAGTTATCCTAACCAGACGCACTGTTTCAAATCTGTTCTTTAACTACACGTAGATGTCGAAGGAATATCATATTTCTAGCAACCTCACTCAGTCAAACGGTTTTCCAGTCATCACCGCAGGTTTATTATTATTATTACCATTATTATTACGTAGGTCATGCTTTACCTAAATAAATTGTGATCAGTGCTATATTGCGTAAGAGTAAGGTGATCTACTATCTTTGTCGAATCGTTGTTACAGTAAACCTATCCCATATTTTACGAAGATTATGTTCATTGTTATACAATTTTATCATTTTCAGATAGAGGAAGGTGTAAATACCGGTACTGTTTTATATCATCGTTGGCAAAAACGTTCAGTAACGGAATTGGCTATTCAATCTGAGCGTCTACGACAACGTGAAGCTCTTCGAGCTAAGCGTCGCGCCGAACATGAAGCTCGGCGTTTAGTAAATGAAACCAATCGTGAAGCTCATCGTATTGCTTGTCTTGAAGGTATGAAACGTGCTGGTCACTTACCTTCGGGTGAAGAACAGTTACCTGAGGAAATTAGTGATGAGAAGAATATGAGAAATGACGATACGAAAACTGTCAAATTCCAGTTGGAGGAACTACCAAAAACTAAGAAAAATTTAAAACTTAACCACAAGTCAATTACTGAACCAAAGAAGTCAGTAGTCAAAAAGGGATTCAAAAGTGAGCACTGAATTTGAGTTTGTTATTATCCTTACAGTATATTGTGTATCGTAAAAGGGCTTGATTTTGATTATTGGATGTATCAGGATTGTTGACACTCTTATAAACGAACGATGTTTTACTCGTTGGTTACTTCTTTTATTAAACCATCATTCATCCATTCACTTTACGTTGGTTTGAACAATGAGTTTCTGGTTCAAACCATGCTCCACCTTTTTTTTAATTAAAAAACCCAAATTAAAATTTAACTAAAAAAAAAAAAGTTAAGGGGTTTTTTTGTAATTTTTTTTTTTGAAAATAATATTAGTGAAAAAAAAAAAAAAAAAAGAATTTAAATTGTTTTCCCGGTTTTCCCGGGGTTGTTTTGCCCCCTTTTTTATTTGAAGTTGGATTCCTTTCGTCGTTCTTGATTCTCAGCATAGTTTTTCAGTTTTTTTTGTTGCCGGAAACATTGGGTTTCATACTAAAAAGAACTTAGCCGTTTGGGGTGTTAGTGTAGAGTGAGATATTAACGCATAAACTATTCTGTGTTGCCCTATTTCTCTTTGAGTATGCTATTTAAGAGTGCTTGTTGATTGAATAGTTACTTGTCTATAGATGTGAGTGAATCGACTAGATGATTGACATGCGTACTGGAATTCAGTTTCAGCTTATTAACATTGTCCAATTTAGGTAAACTGACTCACTGGTTTAGGACCTTAACTACTGACAACTTGGTCATTCATTCAAACCTAGGTTCATCTGCTGAGTTATAGGTATTTATTTCAGCTCCCGGTTTATGGATATGCAGCGTGGTGTATCCAACCCAAGAAGTAAGTGGCTGTTATAGATTACATATCGCATATTATGTGCTTTCCATAGCTTGCTAAAGCAGTATATGCATGAATATTTAATTATTATTATTATTACTTGTCGTTTGGGTTCCTAGTGAAACATAGTGCTTCAGTAGCACGTCACCATTTCACTCTCTCCTCTGCAGTCTTTTCAACCTCGCTCCACCATTGCCAAAAAACTTTCATTTCTTCCTCACACAATCTCCTCCATGTCACCCTCGGACGCCTAACTCAACGTTTTCCCATTGGGTGCCACTCGATGGCCTGACCTGATGCCTGATGTCTCAGTGTATGCTCAATCCATCTCCACTTTCTTTTACATATTTCTTGGGTGATGGGTTCTTGGCTGGTTCGTTGTCAGACCAGAGTTCCTTGTTGCTTATTCTTATTATTCCGGCCATCTGATCTTCAGTGTCAGTATCGAATGAGCGTAGGTGGCAGCTGTTGATGACTTATGTCTCTAGTTTGTTGAAAATGCTTTTCGTGACGCGCCAAGTTTCTGAACCATCACACAGAAGCACTGACTTGACTGAATTAGTGTTGAAAATCCGGATCTTGTTCTTTATGCTGAGTTGAGTGGAGTAGATCTCCACACTGATTTCAGTTTAATGAAGGCCTGTATTGTTGTCTTTCCGATCGTGGCCCCGACATCCTCATCTGTGCCGCCACCTGTGGTTGAAACAATGCTACTTAGGAAGGTAGGTGAAAGACATAACTTCCTTTTGATTTCTCCCGTTGATGACGCTTGTTTTCGTCATTATTATTATTATTATTATTATTATTATTATTATTATTATTATTATTATTGTTATTATTGAGTATCTTCATTACCTGTGTTTTCTCTACGTCCACCTGAAGGAAGTCCCGTCTTCGCTGCCTCACTCGCCTCTTCTGCCAACTTGTTAGTTTTCGAGTTTGTGCGATAAGACATTAAACATAAATCATCATCGACGAAATCCAAATCTTCTCCTAGGGTCTTTTCATTGATGCAACCAGCGTATGACCACCTCGCTCCTCACAGCTTGTTGCATGACCCAGTTTAGTCAACCACTATCAGGAAGATCATAGGTGATGGTAGGCGACAACCTTGTTTTGACTTACTCCCGTCTACTGTATTCATTTCAAAGGCATCACTGAGCTTTCCATTGTGAATCACTTGACATGTAGCTTTGTTATATAAGTAGCTGTTTAATGAGGTTGATGAAGGTTTGTGGCACTAAAACCGTAGTGTTTAGGCAGCTGTCAAATTACTTCTCGGTCGACGCTAGAATATTTAATTGTATCATATCATTGTTGACATAACTAACTTACTAATTATTTTCATTCTTTCTAACGTTTCAGATTGTTGATTAATTTATTACTGTCTAAATTCTTTTTCTCCCTCTTCATTTAGGTAATGTAGTAATAAGAAAAAAAGAGAAGAAATTGCAATGACTGTGTAATTATTCTGTATAACGAACTTATATTTGTTCCCAAAATTGTAAATATTTGGTTCGTCGGCGCTTCATTTTCATATATATACCAACAATATCTTTTGATTTAATCCCTTTGAACTGCTATGCATATTTTATATTCTTACCGAATAAAACTTATAGTGAAGTGGATATGTATAGAGGAAATAATGTTGGAGGGAATAAACTCTGGTCCTTCTTATACTGACTGCTGTTATGGAATCTGGTGATCTTCTGTATGGAGTATGTAGCTTGATACATATATATGGACCGTTCAGTTTCATGTGTTACATTCTACAGCAACTCGTGACTAGCAGATTTACTTATTAGTCATTAAAGTCAACATTATCTGGATTTTTGTACTGCATTTTCGCTGAATATTCACTAGTTCTTGGAAGTAGATCAGTACAGCACAAACACACTATCGAGTTTTTAAAATTTGCAACAAAGTGAGTGGATATGGAGGATTATTGAATGCAGTGTAAAGCTGTGGTTTAGGGAGATAACTATCAACCATTATGTCAAGGGTTCCAGCTCTGCTCCACCTTCCGAGGTCTTTGGAGCCAGGTATTATCACCAGCTCTCATACAGTAGCTGTAGCTCATTGCCTTCTGCACAGTTGTGCAAAGTTTACGGAGCGTTCTTCACCTTGTTGCCATAACATAGGCTAGTGCGTTTAAATATTAGAAAAATAAGAGTGTGAAGTTCCTAATAAAGTGAAATGCAGATTGCCTCATAATTAGCGCATATTTGTTGTTTGGTACCTGCATTTTCTGATTGCTATTCTGGATCAAATCGCTCGACTTCTGTTGCCAGATTGGCTCCTATGCGAATACCTCGATACTGCCTGATGTTCATGATGTTGATGACAAGCAGTGAAATCCAGAAAGCTTGTTTCGTTCTACTTAGGACTCGTTTGCTAGTCTCGAGTCTCATTGAGTAGATACGTCCAGCAGACGAGTCCCAACTGGGACGAAATACAGGTTCTGGGTTCCACTGCTATTCACCAAGATGAACATAATGCACATTTGCCTCACTCTCAGTATGTTTGTACTTGGCCTGAGTTATTGATATGTTGTGTTGGAAATAAGTCACGGTGACAAATTAGTTGTAACATCATTTGATCAACTTGTCCAAGGTAATATGAATGGTGTAGCATGAGATTGATAGAATGCTTAACAACTATCTCAGGTTCACAGTTTTGTTCACCTCTTGACGCTAGATGCAGATTTTGCACCTGGTTGGTGTTAAGACGAAAACATTCTAATCTAGTACGCTCTTTGCATAGTTTTCTCTTGATTCAACCGATTTCGTTCAAATATGTTTGTCAAGTGACTCTGTTGGGTTTGTCATAAATACATAACTGTCCACGTTACCGCAATCAGACACATTGAAACGGAGAGTAATAATAACGAAGGTAAACAAATAGCAATTTTGTTGTTAGCACTTGTGAAAAGCCATAAGACAAATAGGAAAGCTGACAAAACTATCCGATGTTGCTATCTGAACAAAAATATGGCTTGGATGCATCTGTTCTACCGATTGTGAGCCATATCGTTTGGTGTCCTAACATTAGTTTTCGTTGTCCTCACAAGGCTTAGAATAATGATATTCCTATACTGCTGGTGTCATTGACTGATCTAATCCTTACTTTTTAAATATTTTACTCCGGTTGACATTGTGCGTTTAAGTAAAAGATGGGTGGGCGCTCATGACACACGAAGGTTGACAACATCAATAACTGATTTTCCTCAACCCTTGTACTGTCAAATGAAAGATTGTAAGTGGATTACATGTTTTAAAAATTATTTTACACATTACATACACCAATTGACAAGCCGGTTGTTTGAAACTCCGAGATGTGGGAGTAGATACTGAACATCAAGGTAGCATCTGCGGTCTTTGAGCCAAAGGTTTTTGTGTTCACTTGTCACTGTCTAGATAGATATTTTATGCATGTCTGAGTTTACATCTGGTCAAGTCAAATCGAACGGTGTTTTCATAGGTTATTGTTCTCTGATTTTGACCAATACTATAGTGCTATTGGTTATCATACAGTTGGATGCATACCACTTTCTTCATGTCTGTGTATATACTGCGATTCTGTGAAGTGTTTGTTGAAACTCTGGTGAACCAGTTGTGCATCCTGATTTAAGGACTGTGTGAAATACACGTATTACAACTACAGTACCAGATAGTACTAGTAAATACCAACTGCAGATTTTATTAATTCATAGATGACTCCTGCTAAAATGGTTTTCGTAGAAATTATGACTGATTTGATCGGTAGTAGGATTTTCTAAATGTCTGAAATCGATGTTTAATCAATCTTATTATACGTATTAAGGTGATGAATTGATGAACAGAGATTCAGCTATCAACTTCTCTCTGTATCTGCCTTGATAGATTTGTCTTTAGGAATGTTACTTCATCCCAGTCTGTTGCATGTCATTGCATGCCTAACTTTGGCTGAAATCGTCTCTAGATTACTTGCCTTAGTAAGGTCTATTAATCTAGACTTAGCTAGCTAGGTCCTTATGTTCTGCTAAACTGACTGACCCCCATCAGCTAATGTGACTTATGTACTTGACCTCTCAGTCATTGCGACATAATTAGTAAGTTGAAATACTTAGTCAGATTGGGCTAATAGAAGCCTTAAACCGACAAAGTTTGTCTCTGAGGGAATTTTTTAGTTTGACTGTTACCCTGATCCTATCCTTATTGAAAATTTGAATCTGTATTCTCATCTTTCTCATTACTTGTATACATGACAAGTAGGCATTATTCACGGTTTTACTGGGCCTTGTCTTATTAGAACTATCTGGCAGTAATTCACAATGAGCGGTTAATTATGAACTGTAAATTGAGCTCCATAGTCGTACAGTTAAAAGAAGTATGTGGTGTAAAACTACTAATGATTACTTATCCATCAAAAGAATTCTTAAAAGATATATATATATATATATATACAGCAACAAGCTGTAGTTCCGGAACCAGTCAAATTGGAAATATTGGCTTACCCGACAGTGTCTTGATATTGGAAATTACTTGAGAAACTTGTAAGGAAGTAGGTCGAATTACTTAGAGACGGTAAACAGACGGATTATGTCGCCAGTATTCATTATATCTTCAAAAGCTAGTCAGTAATACATGTGTCGCCTTTTTCTCACCTCAAGACTTTCTTCAAGTCTATTCGGAAGTAACGTGTGAATATTCCTTATAATATTTTCAGACAAGGTTCTTCGGTTGTAGTGATATGATGTAGTCAGTTGTCACTGGTTTTGTAACACACCGGTTTCTAGTTTTTTCCCCATCAAAGATTTTCTACAGAAGGCTTTAAGCAACTGCTGAGTGGTGAGGGATGTAGATATAACTAATAGAAATTACTGAATATAATTCTTATTCATTTAAGATTAATATATGTTCAGTGTGTTCGTTCCATTTCAAGGAAGTAAAATGCCTTAGAAAAAGATCTAATCGGGTGTTTTGTTGATTGGTTTTGTCATATAAATCTGGCTTGATGGCTGTTTATGCCTATTAACAAAGTTTGTTCAATTATTTAAGGAAGATATTCTTAACTTCACCGTAAACGTTAGGTTTTTCATGTGTTATTAGTTCTGGCAAACGATATTTCTCAGGAGATTCAACCTTGATGTGACTGAGAATACTCATGGAGGTTGAACTACGTTTGAAAGAATGCATAGGTTGGTGTTTTGGGCTCAAAAATAATGGTTTAAATTATTACCTAAAACGAATAATAGCGACAACACGAGTAAAAATGAGTTCAAATCCTCGATTGTGTTACTCTATGAGGAAGGAACATCAGATACTTTACGTAAGATTCTCAACAAGACTCGAATTAGTATGGTATTGAAACCTAGAAACTTACTTAGGGGTAAGCTTTACTGACTTGAGGACCCGATAATCGGATCGATCAAATTCTATGCAATGACTGTTAGGTTAAGTGCATAGGTCAAAGTAGCTGGTCGGGGTCAGTTAGATTTTCCGAACATAGGAATCTAGCTAAATACAGAGTAACAAAGCCCAATATGATCAATAATCTAGACAAAATCTCGGGTATTGCAGTGGATGCATTAACACACAATAAGCTGGGACAAAATCATAGTATTTAAGTCCAATATATTTAGGTGGAGGAAGAGATTGATTACTGAATCTTAGTTCATCGAATTAACACAAAGCATGGGATAGGAATGACACAACCAGAGATGTGGCAAGCTTTCCTACAAATAGAAACAAAAAATAGGTGACAGGACTGTACAAATCAGATGTCGGAAATGGTGTGATCACATTGATTTGATTATGAGGGATAATTTATCCTTGAAATATCATCAAGTAAATGATACTGTATCACTGTGTGTTACAAATCTAATATGGAATGACATCCTACCACAGTGTCCAAGTTTTACATCTACAAAAATAGTTTTATTCTTTCGACTTCCCTTACTTACTTTCAGAGGTGTTTTAATGAATGTTATTTGGCGATTGCTAATACTATGCGATAAAACCAAATAAGAAGTGCCTTAATGTTTATCAAGACATTTAAAGTTAAAAATTTATCCATGGTATACTGTTCACAGTCTAAAGTTCAATAACACCCTCCTTTATTAATACTTTTAGACTCATTTAAGGATTCTTATGAATGCATTTATATTTCCATATAATCTTATTCTTATACTCACAAGTAAGCAGAGAACAAGTTGATTAATCATATGGCTACTCAGCAACCAAGTGGGCAATTGCATAGTATTCAATGAGCTACATATTGTGTAAAGATTGATGATACTGCTTGGGTGGCCAGAACTGGTTAGGCAGGATGAATTTAGAATCCTTGACTTACTGGTTGAAAGTCAGCTGTCTAGATCAATGAACCACTGTTCAATATCCTATAAATTAGTTGTTTCAGATCTATATATAAATAAATCTAGTCTTATTAATTTGAAATTGCTATCCGTTACGTTGTTACTCTTGACCACCAAGTTGGATTTATTGATTGCCTAGTGAATTGTTTTTGGTTATGATTTGTTGAAGAGCACAAGCAATGCATTTAATTCAGTAAACAGGTTTCAGGTAAAAAGCAAGGTGCTAATTTATCTCACTGAATTCATCACTCTTTGGTATGAATTAACAAAATGAAAGTGAAAAGTGTTTCTTCAAAGTAGGAACTGATGACTTCTGAAGAATCCTCATAAATATAGATTGTAGGTTTTCTGCCGACAAACTTTAAAGCATCC